CCAACCAGAGCCAACGGCTGATGCTGAACCACAGAGTGCAACACCACCACAATACTCTCTCAACTCTAACACTTAACAGCCCTTGGTGGGCTTTGCTCAGTCCTTTCCTGCTCCTGGCAACCCCAGCATCCTGCAGCACTAGCTTCACAGCTTCCTTATGTGCTGTCTGGGAGAAGTATTTCCTTTCACTTGGCTTTAAATCTGGCTCCTGCTCATTCTATTCCATTCTTCCGTGCTGTTATGACATGACAGAGCACTTCCCAGCATCACTAACAGTTGCACAGCATTTATCACCTTCCCATCCACTGCACTGTTCTGCAGACTAGAGCCCCTCCTCTATATTCTCTGCCTGACAGAGGGCCCTGCTACCCCTCTCTCTTCCAGTGCAGTGCAAGGATGGTAAAGGAAAGATTATGGTGAGTCAGCCTCTTTTTCCATGTAAAAGCCATAGGACAAGAGATAACGACCTTAAGTTGAGCTAGGGAGGTTCGGGTTGCATGTTAGGAACTATTTCTTCTCAGAAAGAATGGAACAGCAGTGGCACAGGCTGCCCAGTGATGGAGTCACTGTCCCTGGAGGTGTTCCAGAACCATGGAGATGTGGCATTCAGGGATGTGGTCAGTAGGCATGGGTTGATGGTTGGTGTCAATGAGCTTAGAGGTCATTTCCAACCTTAATGATTCTATGACCCTACCAAAAGGGAAAAATTGGCACAAGCACTTCTCTGGAGGTTTCATTCCTGGAGTTGACCCAGTAGGAACCACTGCCCTCCTAGATATCTATGGCCACACAGCTGAGGGTTTCCTTCCTTTTTCTCAGTTAGAGGACTCCAAATCCATACGCAGACAACGTTCTCCTAACGTCACCCCCTCTTCCATTATTTAATTCTACAGCTACTTACACACCTGGATGGATGCATTACACACTGGATGGTCACATCCCTTTAGCCTGTAGAGCAACTGAGGCAAGCACCACACGCAGGCAGGGCATAAGCTACAACAATGAGAGGCAAGCACACAGCCACGGCAATCAAAATGACAGAACGCTTTCTAATTTTGGAGTTAATTGATAGCTGAATCCTGAAGCTTCTACTAAAGACACCAAGCAGTCTGTGAAAAAAAAAACCATCTGACTGCAGGGCCCTGCGTGAGACAGGAACGCAAAGGAAATAAGGCAGCAGAACACTCCTGCGCATGGGAGCTTCCAACCTGCTCAAAGTTGTTCACCTGTTATTCACTCACCCCAACAGCCACAAACACTGTGTGAGCACAGCTCCACACTGCAAGCACTGGGACCCCCACAGGGCCCTGCCCTGCAGTATCCCACACGTGGTGGGATCAATTGCTCAGCATTGCTGGGGAAGCAGCCCTGGTCCATCTCACTGCTGCAGCTTCCTTTTCCTATTTCCTTATTTTATTTTCCTTTCCTTCCTCCCCCTCCCCCCCTTTATTTTTTTCCTTTCCCCTCTTTCTCTGCTCGCTTTTCCCCCTTTCTGCCTCTCTTTTTGCTTGCTTTTCCTCCTTTTTCCCTCTTTTTTCTTTTTCTTTTTTTTTTTTTTTTGCTTCCTTTTCCCCCATTTTTGTTCTTATTTTTGGTTCGTTTGTTTTTCTTTATTTTCCCTCACTTTTGCCTCTTTTTTTGCTTTCTTTCCTCCCTTCCCTATCCCCACCCGTAGCACAGTCCTAGCCCCCAGCACTTCCCACCCTCACCCCCGTTTCCCCCCGGTCCCACCGCTCACCTGCCGCCCGCAGCCGTTCCCCGGCACCGCCTCCTCCCGCCGGGGGGGGGGGGGGGGCGCCGGGAGGCCGCCACGTGTGCCGGTGCGCACCCTCTGCCCGCCCTCCTTTACGTCGGGAGTCGGCCCGAATGGAGGCAGCAGGTAGGTAGGATGTCCGTGCCGAGGTGCCGGAGGGACGGCCGCCAGCACGGGGCAGTGGTGCTGCAGTTCCGCAAGGGAGCGGCCGCCTCCCGCTTCCACGGCCCTGCATAGAGAATCGACCGATCGATGGGGCTGATCGTCGAGTCCAACTCCTGGCTCCACGCAGGGCCACCCGAAAGTCAGACCGTCTGACCGAGAGCTCCGTTTGCTTCCAAAAGAAAGCAAATTCAGGCTATTTCAAGACGGCTCGGTAATAAGGCAAGGCAATGATTTTCCAGCTCACAGAGATAAAGCACAACCCTAGCTTTAACCCTTCACTTTGCAGAAACAGCAACGGCTGGGACAAAGAGGAAAGAGGTGCCCGGACAGGTAGATGGAGTCGAATGGGGAGGGCAAAGAGATTCCTGGAATGTTTCTGGAACTCCTTCCAGGAGGACACGTTTATAGGTACCTGCGAGCAGGCTGGGCCAGATCCTCCCATGGCATGGGCCTGTGCTCCCAGTGCAAAAATGCAGACTGACATACGCTCCTCTGAGTGTCAGCAAGTCACTGTCACGTGCAAAGCGCTTTGTTTTCATTAAAGAAACATGAGTATACAGAAGTAACCTGAACGCCAGAGCAGCAGCTCGACGTCAACTAAGCACACTGTGTGGCAGTACATGGGTCATTCAGCAGGAAGGGATGTGCATTTAGGTGCATAGGGCTGGGGGATGACGGGAGTTGCAGGAATGCTGGATGATGCTTATTTCTGCCACCACCAACCCCACTCACAGAACCCTGCTGCCCTTCGCAGCATGGCAGCTGCTGGGCACACACAGCTCGCGCCTCATGGAGCAGTGTTGGGAGTCAGCTGCACGATACGAGTTGCATCACCTAGTGGTCTACAGACACATCTTATGCCAACAGTAAAGCAGGGTGTTCAACCAAGAGAGTCCTCCTGAAGCAGAGTTCTGTCCACGGAGAGCCAACATTTTCCTGAGTTCATTTATGTGCTAAACTGCAAAAAAAAAATTGCTTCTAAAGTGCATTTTCCCTAATGCTGCATAGTGCTCCTCCATATCCAATGTCAGAGGGCTCATGGGCAAGGAACTGCAGTGCTCTCCTCCTGTGTTCAACCAGGTGACCCAATCCCTCTGCTCAACACTGCTTTACACCAACAAATACAGCCTTGGAGAAATGAAAATCCACAAACCAGCCTCCTTCTGAGCGCTGGAAGTTCTGGAGGAAGGCAGAACTCACTGGCAAACAGCTTACCTTGCCCTTCTTTTTCCTTCTTTTGGAACCACAACTTTCTTAGACTGATCTGATCTATAATTAGACAGCTTTGTGACAAAGAAGTATTGGGAACTGGCAAAGCAAATGGAGCAAATCTCAGGTCTTGAGAAACAAACCAGTCGGCATCTTCCTGCTGCCGAGAGCACCCTCTGCATTGTTGGTACACCTCACTCTGTGATCACCTTGAAGTATCCCCAGCACTTCTGGCTGTTAATTCACCATCTCCCATGATTTCCTATACCCATGTGGAACAGCTGCAAGTCAGGCAGCAGCCTCCACTTATGGGGTGGGAGCAGGCACAGGGCAAGGGGAGCTGCCCACTGACTGCAAGCAGAAAACCAGCAGCTTCTGGTACAGCCAGCAAACACCCAGAAGGACCAATATAGGAGTAGTACTTTTTTTGCATGTCATGGACTGCAGGAGATCCCTGCCGCCACCCCACTTTGAGATGGCACCTCACCGAACCCTCAGATGCACTTTCTGCCAGCATGTATGTGCCAGCCCGCCTTTGGCACTCAGAATACAGATGCTGCACTGGGGCTGCGTCCTGAAGCTCAACCTGGCAAGGTAGAAGGGCAGTGTGGGGCAGCTTACCTGCAGGACTGCTGCTCCTGGGAGGGCTCCAGCTCCAGTTCCAGCTCCCTTCTTGCAGCTCCACATCTTGACAGCTAAAGCAGACAAAAGAGCAGATGGCATTCCACAGGCAACTGTCTTCTGCTGATCTGGCAAGCACAATGCACAGGACAGCTGACCACTCAGACGCTCTTCCTTCCCATCTCCCTAAATCCAAAGCCCCACCTCCAGATCTCTCTCTGTCATGAACCGCCCTGGAGCTACATAACAGTTCACCCCGTGCAGCACAAGGAAAACATTCCAATAGACAGATATTTTTTCAACCTTCTAAATAAACAACCAGCACTTTGAGCAGAAGACTCTTTCCTCCTCCTAGCAGAAAGTACAGCTACGTGGATTCTTTTTTCTCACTGAACACAAAATGTAAGGTCTGGCAATTCTTTCCAACATAAAAACATGGAAAAATGTCCTGTTTTTCAGTACTGCTTTAGTATCTTGACATTGTAAAAGTCAACAGGCAGAAACTATCAGTGTTGGATTTCTTATTTCCACCAGTACACGGCCGAGCAAGCCAGTGCTACTTACCGGTGCACTTTGCACAGCACACCTTAATGCTGCTCAACCTAGAACAATTGAGAGTAATCATTACACAAGATGAATGTCAACACAGAACTTCAAGTTCTTTAAAAGCCATTTTAAAAACAATACCACAGCAGGCACAGTGGAATAACATTGCAACGAAGGCCTATCAAATTACACTGCTGTGTTTGCTCCGTATTTCAGAAGCATGTGAAAGCAGTGTGAAGCAGCGAGGCTCACAGCCTCACACTCCTGAAGGCAGGAAGGTGGGCAGCCCCTCCTTAGTGTCAAGAAGTTCTCCCAAAGGAAAGCTACCCAACGCCACGAGCTCCTATCCAAGTGACTCTATTGCCACAGTAGCACAGTCTTCTATGAGGTCCAAGGTTAGAATTAAGGCCAGGTATTCCACTTTCTATAAACGGAGGTGACAAGATAGAGACCCAAAGGAGAAGAAAACCGACAGAAAGTTTGTACATCTCAATCAAATCCTTCGATACTCATTGGCTGCAGTTATCCCCTCATGTTCTTACACAACAGCAAGCATCCTCACGAGCCTCCATCTGCCTCAGAGACATTTCGTTTGAAATTCACTAGCGTGAAAAATACTGCTAAAAGTCTATTCATAAAACAGTATTCTATATTTTTATTTTTCAAACAGCAAGTGACCACATTTAAAATGCATCATTTGCAAATATAAATTATCAAACTATTAGTTTAATTAAAAATAAAGCGAAAACATAACTTCCCTTAGTATCACAATACATAGGAGGGTATTATAAGCCCCAAATGACTAAGTTAACCATAAGAAAACAATTATGTCAAAAGCGATGGAACTCATTAAGTCACCGAATGAATAAATCAATCCTAATACAATACCATTCACCGTGATTATGTAAAAAAAGCCATCTTTCATTGTATTATACAGATAAAACAATCCGATCCTTCATGCCACGTTTTGTAAACCATGATATAAATTACACTCACAGTCAAAGGAACAGATAAGAGTAACTCCCAAAATACTTTAGGTTGCTTTTAGGGCAGAAATAAAGGCAGAAATAGAATCATTTAAAATATATCAAGTTTAACCAAAACATTTATTTGGTCAAGCCTGCTATCCAAATAGTTTTGTTTCCTGCAAAACTATTTTTGTCTTTTTGAATTATGAAATTTATACGTTTCTTTTACATACTAAACATAAGTCATGTGTTGAGCTACATTAAATCCTTTTACACTTGTATCACTTTTGCCAGGAGGCCCATGCATCTTTCACATATGTACACACACACTCACACACACATTCTTTGTATCGGGGACTTCCTCATCTCCCAGGAGTACAGACAGACCCCCACCTTGGTTTCTGTCATAAAGAATATACAAATTTCATCCTTGCCCAGTTCCTACAAAACCATCTCTTATCAATATACATACTTTTACTGATGGAATTCAGGTTATGATCTTTTGCCTAGTAATAAACGGACGGAATAGATGGCGTAGGATAAAGAAATACTGTATAATTATCTAAATAAACCTATTGTCCTAAGTTTATCTATATGGATTTTTCTGTTTATTAGTTGAAGTACGAAGAAGGCATTTGGACTTGAGGAAAATAACACTAGATCAGAAAATGCACCGTAACAGTGTTCCACTAGATATGTATCACCAGGTTTTCCAGAGCACAGTTTCTTCTGCACGCTTAGAGTTTGTACTAATTGCTCTGTCTTCAAATCCATCACGTTTCCAGATCCGATTCAGCATTACATAGTATGCCTTCAACATAAAAGGAGGTCACTTGCTTTATTGAACACCAAGCTCCCTTCCAGACAGCGTTAAAAGAAAGACAAGACTACACAGACAAAGTCCAGTATAATTCATTTCTGACAAGGAAAAGTTCAACCCCTCATACTGTTGCAAAATTCCTCCTACTGAAATGCTTTACTACAATAATAATAAAAAGCATACATTACATATAAAAAGATACCAGTGTACTAAAAGTGACAGAAGTGGACTAGCAAATCCTTCAAAGCACATATTATATAAATGACTAGCATTTAAAAACATTTTCTTTTCTATAAAATGTAGGTCATATACATTTATAAATCGGGGTGGGGGGTTCTAAAGCAGTGATGACTGCGTTCAAATAGTTTTGCTGCTCTGTACAGTCTAATCCCTACTCAATTCAAACTATAAGTTTGACGTTTAGTTTATTTGTCGGAATAAACTCATCATCTCATAGCTCACAACTGGAAAAATACGCAACTCAACTGAACATGTGACTTGGAAGTTCACTGTTTAACTGCATACGAAATACGGAGAGAACCACTCCTTTGTACTGGAGGCCCAAGTCTCGTCAGCTCAGTATCAGGACTTAAAGACTCCAAATTTAAGCAGAGGAGTTGTCAGGAATCAGCACAGAAGCAGAATAGTATCTCTCATCCTTTAGAGACACAGCTATTCAACTTTTGCAGTCTTCCTCCTCTCGCAGAAGTGCAGCCAAGCCATTCCTTTCTTACTCAAAGTGTGCACGGATGAAGCCATGGATCTAAAGGCTGTCCTCTCTGTGACTGAGATTGTGCTGTGTAAACAATGTTACCTACTCCAGCAGGAGGACATTTGAATTTATTTATAAAAAACGATTAAGAATATTCATTCACTCAAGGCTATTAACTCCCCAAAGGTATTTTTGGAACTTATCCTTATGCTACTCGTAAAGTTAGCACTGTCATGTATTATTGCTTACAAACAGTACAACATCGTACGCCTTCGAACAGAGCGGTACTGCCATCAGTCCAGACCTATTTACAGCGTTTGTTGTTTCTTCTTTAAACAGGCTATAAAAACATTACATACTTTACAGACAATACAAATTTCCACATCGGTACTCGATTCAAACAAATGGAATGCATAACAATAATAAACATCATAAAGGAAGACTGACATAAGTCCTTGATTGTCAAGACATTTATATTTATATATAAACTCTAACTGTGCAGAATCAAAGATTCAATCATAGGTACATCCTTATTTGATAAATCATATTTACAGCATGATATTGCATAAAAAAATAAAATAATGTTGTTTACACATATTACCTTTCCATCCATTGGATTAAGGAGAGCAAGAAACAACTCTTAGAAATGTCTGCTTGCCTCAGTTTGTGTTTCCTACCAAAAGTTACAATTTTAAAAAGGAAACATAAGGTTCTTTACGCAGAGTAGAGCAAAAGCGACTATAAATGTATTTCCCTGACACAAAGCAATTTAAACTTGAACAAAGGTTGAAGTTTTAACTTAGAGACAACTCTTCTCATTAGCAGTAATACTTTCTAGTACTTGCCCCTTGCCAAGTGAGCTTCAGCTAAATGCATTACATGCCTAACACAAACATGCATTACCGTAAGTCGAATGAACTTTCAAAGTTACAAGGCTTCATCTCCGTAACACATTTAAAACTAGCAGAGTGTAACACGATGAGCTTGCCTCAGTACCAACCATGTAATCTGAAAGTTCACATGTGTACTGGTACCGACTGCAGAAGCAGATTTCTGCCTATTAGATTTGTCAAACGTATTCCCTGGAGCATTAGGGTTTTCCCTGCAATTTGTAATGGTATTAAAACAGGCCAACAAAGAACAAACAAACAGAAAAAAAAAAAAAACCAAAGCTCTCAAAACCAAGAATATTTAGTTGGCAAATATACATACATAAAGAAATCCAATGCTGCAAAATTCAGACTGAATTCACCCAAATATTCTGGTTCATTTCAAATAGTTACTACGCGTGATACAAACACTGTAAAAATATTCTGAACAAGCATGGAATATCATGTATACGTCCAGGTGGAAAGTTTTCATAGGACAACATACGAATGCTTCCAAAAGTTACAGTAGAACCCCAATAATTCGCAGCAGTGACTCGGAAACCCTTTAGAAATCACAATTTTGAAAGTAGTGAAGAAGCAGGCAATGAAAGCAAGGATGTCACATCACAAAAGGTACTTTGTTCATTTATTCTGACAATTGTGATTTAGTTTGCAGTGCTTCGTGTACCTCCCAGTATACTGACATAGATTCTGTAGTATACTCAGGTGAAGCAGTACAGTATTACTCATACGAGACTTGGCTACTGTACTTTTTAGCACATCGCAGAGAGGTGGGAAGAGAGAGACCATAGGGGACATATAAACCTATGGGATGCTCTGGTTAGCTGTCAGCGAATTAGCAAGATTTTACTGTACTTCTCAATTAACAATGAAAAGTTCCCCTCATCCAGAAAACCGACAAGTACAATAGAAAAGTAATGCAAGTGTTAATTCATGCAGATACTTTCTTGTCCTATTTTCTTCCTGAAACACCATTTTCCTCAAGACAATACTAGGAGACACGCGATCGTTAACATAATTCCTTTATCATTCAATTTATGTATTTTGTAAACCAGTGTACAGCGATACACATTGTTAACCCTTCTCTCTAAACCTTGCCATTTGTGATTAATTCATTCTCAAATCAAAAGAAGAAAAGGTAAATGCTTATTAGGATACCATTCCAAGCTGATTCCTTCATCGTCTGTTACGTGAACGGTAAAATATACCAAAGGACTCATGCTAAAAGGGACACTGTCAAGTAATTTAGGTCCAAAATATGGCCTATGACTATGTGTCTATATATATAGACATATATGTATATATATAGTTTGGTAATAAACATCATCCATTTCCTCTTTTAAAAAAAAATCATTGTGGCTGGAGAGAGCCACAAAAGCAGACACACATACACACACCTGCAGCCTGCATGACCCTTCAGAAAGAACCTGTGTTGCTCGCTCTATGCAATACAGATGCTAACTCCAACTTCTGCTGAGCGACCACAGCAGTACAAGAACAGAACTAACACCGACGTCGCTGCTTTTTCAGCTCTTTTGGACATCCACGGAAAACTAACAGAAATGAACAGCGACCTGCTTGAAACGAAGAACATGCATCTGTAGCAGATTAGAAGCAGCAGGATTTTAACAGTAGAAAATCTTATTAAATAATGTAATTATTGACGAAGCGCAAGCTTTTACACAGAGCAGTCTCCCAGAACTACATACAGACTTTTTCCAGAATGAAAGGGCATGCACTCAGGAAATGATAGCAGTATATTTGGTTAACTCCTCTGTCACAGAAAGCTTCAAGCATCGGCAGATCAGGTACTTGAGAATCCTATAGATATTCCCCACAGGCTACACTGGGACTTCACAGCCTGTCCTAAGGCACTGAGGATAGCTGTAATGGCTCATCAGAAGACTGGAGAAGGAACTACGACAGAAGGAATAACATCTTCTCAGATGACTCCCACTTTGCTCTGGGGAAGGGTGAGTTCCTTCCCTCTGTACAGCAGCTTGCTCACTCACATACCCAAGCAGCGATTTGTTAAGAGTGAAGATGGCGCGAGGCAACAGCGCTCCCTGCTACTCCTCCATCACCTTCTCTCAGCAGAGAATCAATGCAGTGACTTTTGTTAAGTAAAAATGAGTCAATCTGCTTTAGGAGATTCAGGCTTTTTATTCCTTTTACTTTCCTACCAGACCAGACTAGTGCAGTAATAATCTAGTTGCCCTCTCCCAGCCACCCCCCACCCCTCCCACTTGTTTTTCTTTGTTTTTCCTTTTTCTTTTGGCATTTGCTGCTTGTCGTATTTACAGCAAACAGTATTACTAGTAATGGTCATCTACTTGCAACAACAGGACATTAGAACAAAGATGTCAACAACATATTAAGCAGGCAGCACAAACTAGGATGTCATGGAAATAGAACGATGAGAACAAAACAGGTGTAACAGGAGGTGGCTTCGAGGCTATGGGGGCCATATTTATTATATCTGTGCAAAGCAGAATGGAAAGCCAAAAAAAAAAAAAAAAGAAAATCAAAAACCAACCAACTGACCACAAAGGAAGAAAAACAGAGACATGAATCAGATTGAAAATATTCTTTCCAATAATTTTTGTTTTACATGTATTATTAATAGTCCACAAGGAATTTACTCTTCTCCCTTGATGCACATTCTTTTTTTTTAATTCAGGGCCAAATATTCAGACCAAGTTACTGGCAAGTGATAACATGCAGAAACACCTTCCTTATATTAAACACACAAGTCAAAACATGATTTGTTTTCCTATACAAAAATACTTAGTGAGAATTTTATGCAATTTGTATTTCCTGACAATGCAGGAAGCAAGCCATGGATTACAAACATGCTTTCTCCCTGAATTGTACCAAGTGAAGTTAGTGCTTTAATAGTGATACCATAAGGGAAAAAAAAAAGAAAGAAAGAAAAAAAACCACCTGTAAAATCAGCTTCCTATCAAAAAGAAAAAAAAACAATAAATTGCTACTGTTTTCAGAAGAGGTGGGGACTATTCTGTGCCCTGCTCAAGTCCCTTCAAAAGCAAGATATATTTTATAGCTCCATGAGATGCAGTATTTTCTCCTACATGATGGCTTCATCTGAGAAATACCAGCTAGCAATAGTGCTGTAAAAGAATGTTTGCAATCCTATAAAAAAAAACATACATATATATATACATACATATATATATATATATATTCACACACACACACACACGTGTCTGCGCGTGCATGTTTTTCCCTGGTTAATCAGCCTACATTAGGCTTAAACTGCCTTAAACTACCAGACAGTGTCCCTTTAGGGAAGGTGCAATATTATGAACATACAGTTCAAAAATCTGTAAATTGTTAACTTAAACTACACAATAGTTATGCTACTCAAATCTTACCACCTTAAAAATGCACACAGAACTACTTATCGTACCATACTGCATACTTCAAGACAAAGTACTATTCAAAAAACCATATTTGTGGTAGAGGGATAAACTTTGTAGTTTATTTATATTGTGAAATGCAATGAAAACTTCTGATCGCTCATTTATATTGAGAAAGAAATCCTGTTCACTAGCATTACTCAACAGTTTTGGTTGGTAAAATTGGAATGACCTTCTCTAATCAAACATTAAGAAGATGCATGAAATTTGAATGCCCACTTCTTCAGCTCATGGGGATATTTTGATTAATTTAATGAGCTGAACTGTCATAATTCTAGACAGAGAATTAAGACAGAAGCTCAGGATACCCAGTCTCACTGTATATTGGAAGCTGTATGAGATGAAAATGATGCAACCGTATCAAACCTAAAAATCTTAATTTTTTTCTTTTTTTGAGAAATCAAATCAATCAAATAGACTAAGTGCTCTATGTTAATCGTGAGTATGTAGGGTAAGGTACAGTTAAGCTTTTAAATCTTGGAATACACAGTTTGTGTAAGTATTATGTAACTGGGAATGTTATCTACAGAATATTTTAACTAAAACTTCAAAATCTTGATATCTGCATATGAAAAAAGTCATTAAAAAGTTACATCTAGATTCAGCTGTACAAAGAAATACACATTACTTCAGGAACGAAGTAAATGCATTAGCAGTTATGTGTTTGCTTAAAAAATTGTTTAAAGAATTTTAAATCAATTCGACTTTTAAATAGTAGAGTTAGTCTACCAGAATTCATTTTTTCCTCCAAACACAACTCAAGGTAATGGAAAGCAGAAACAAAGGGCATGTGATCTAAAATTATTTTTTGAGAGAGATGGAAGCGAGATTATTTTTCCAGAAAATGCCATCTTTTAAAGCCATATCTGCTTGACTTTTAAACTTGCAGTTTATTCTGTGTGTTCAGTACACGTTGGTTCCCTGATGAAGAGCAATGACTACACTGACAAGCCTGAAAATGACAATATGAATAGTAGCAGACAATAAACTGTCTTCCCAAAGCACACCAGGAAACCAGTAAGGAAGCAATCATGGGGGAAAAGTCTTACCTGGGGATTCTGTTTATTTTAAATTTTATAGAAGTTAAAATAATTACTGGATTCAAACAAGTGAATAATAATCTGCCTTTGATAAGGGCAACGACGTGAGGCAGATCAATTACTGGTTACTAACCAGGAAAAAGGAAATAAAAAATATAAAGCAGTTATTGGTCTTGCTAATATCAGCTTACTTTTGTTTTAACATAGCGCTCTTAAAAGCTGTACAGAACTCCATCTTATACAGAGCAACCCCCTTTTGACAAATGTGTTCTAAAGTGCCAGTATTATTTACAAAGATTTCTTAGCCAAAAGTCTGGCCCGTTGTGGCATCAGGTGAAGAAGTCATCCCAGCTCTGCTATCATTTACATTCACCAAGGGAAATTCTGGGAAGTCAGCACTTGTCCCTGGTCCCCGAAGGTTCACCTGTCCATTGGCAGTGCTAAATTGAGATGATATTCCAGCTCTTGCCCCATGATACTGAGCTCTGAAGGGCTGCTCAAAGGAGCTAATTTGATATGCTTGATGAACAGGCTGTGCCTCTGCTTTCTTCTGAGAAGTTACTTGTTCCAAGAAGTCCTGTGTAGAGGAGGAGGAAGAATGATTTGCCTCGTCACCTGAAAATGGAAAAGGGTGCTGCGAATCACCAACCATTAGTCCAAAATGAGACTTGTCTGGAGTTGTTCTTAATGGAGAGTTCATTCCCGAGCGAAAGCTGTTGACGGGGATAGAAGTGTAGACCTGCTTCTCTATGGAAGGAAATGCTGGCTGGGTTGTAAGAGTCTGGTTATCAGTCACAAAATTAAGGCTTGGGTTGTTCAAATAGGCATCATTTTGGCTAGTTCTGTCCAAAGCTTGTTGTAAAAACTTTGAGTATTCTTGTAACATACTAGCTTTATCTGATGAGGAAGCTTGAGAGCTTGTTCCAACGGTCTCAGATTGGGTGACCTCAGATACTTCGGAAGAATTGATTGATATACTGGAGGTCACCTCAGTGTCAGCCACACTGAAGGAGATCTCATGCTGTCCGTTAGCCTTGTGTGAATAATGATCTAACAGAGTTTGCAGTACCTCATCTGGAATGACATTTTTGTCATGGCTGCCTTTAATTTCAACATTCAGTGCCTGTGTGTCTAATATCGAAGCTGTGGCAGTTTCATCAATGACGCTTGCCACAGCTGCCTGTGTTACAGAAGGCTGAGATGCTATGGTACTTACATTCAAGGCATATTCCCTACTGTTGTTACTAGCTGCTTGTAGATACCTCTTTTTCTTTAAAAACTGCATTGCATCATCATAGTTAGTGCTGCTGTGTACAGGTTTACTGGGCCCTTCTTGTAATGTGTCAACTTGATCAATGTCAGCATTACCTTCAGAGTCCAGTAAACTCTGTTTATCCACAAGATCAAAGGTATACTTTGAAACTTTGCTGTCTTCATATGTAGATAAAGGTGAAATGCTTTGACTTTGCTCAAGTGGCTGTTTAAGACTCCTCTTGCTGTTAACTTTCTTGAGAACGAGTTTGGGAGGGTGTATTTCTCCAGAATTTGCTTCTTCTAAGTGCGACCCACTGACAGAAGAATGTGGCATCTCGACAGCATATTCTGCTACCATATATTCATCTTTTACTTTCGTACTAGCAGAATACAAAGGCAAATAGTCATTTTTGTCCTTCTTCTGCTCTGATTTATCCGTACAGTCCTTATCTCCAGATTTTGTTTTCTCTGTTTTCTGCCTTTTCTTCTTTGGCAAGGAGCTGTCTTTCATAGGCGTAGAGAAACCAGAATCTTCCTCCGATGGCAAAAAGCCAACTTTGGTGGCACTTCTGTTGGGTTTCTTGTCACGGTTCTCATGGCACATACGTTTATGTTTCAGCACACGATCAGTCCTGGAGAAATACTGCAGAATACATATTTTTGTAATTAGAGAACAATAAATGCATTATCGCTAAGAAACTAATTGTAACAAGTTTACTTGATAGGCTATCCCATGTTATTAACTTCTAAAGAAACAATCAAACAATCAGTGTTTGCTCCACCTAGGCACCAATTCAGCTCACTGTATGTGAAAAAAACATTATTTTATATATGTACAGGACTACAGTAGCTGCAGAAATTCCCATGCGTACTACTTGGGAACTGGCATGTTTTTTATTTTTTAACTGTGAAAGATTTCACTACATCATCTTACCTGCAAACAATACTCGCACTGGTAAGGCTTCTCTCCACTGTGAGTTCTTTTGTGCCTTTCCATGTGATACTTCTGAATAAACCTCATACCACATTCATCACAACGAAATGGCTTCTCACCTGATAAAAAACATGTAGCAACATTAATCTAAAAAAAAAAACCACCAGTATCAATGTTCTTCCCACAATTACCAGGACAAAGATTACATTCTCTATTAGCAGTAACAAAGAAGAGGACTTAATCAGCTGCTATTGTAAAACAGTATAGGGCTTGCTCACAGTTCTCTCAGCACTGAAGCTGAGGCTTCAAATTTAAAATAAATCTTTACAGGAAAAAAAAAAACACCTTTAAAATTCTCTTCCCCTCTTTCTAATGCAGATGCACATGTCTGTCTTAAACCTAACAAATAAAGAACAACAAAGATAACCTTCCTATATGTTTCCACATAATCTCAAGGCAGAGGATTATATAAAAACACTTTAATTCTCTCACCAACTCATTTAACTCTATCCTATCCCTCCTAGAAGAGAATTATGCATTTTCAAGTCTTCAATTTAGAAGTTTTGAAGGATACTTGCTATTTTCTTTTTTTTTTTTTTTTTTCTTTCCCCTTATATGTATGTGAAATAGAAGTAACTATCTTGATTCCAGGAACATGCAGATTATTTCTGAGGTAGTTTTATTCTTAAAAATTGTTTTATTAAATTGCATACAAGAATGATTCATAATATATAGTATATAACATGACAACTAATAATTAGTAACATTATATTAATTTTTTTTAATTTTACTGTTATTGTTTTCTGTTTAGAACAGAGAAATTTAGCCACATCCTTCTATAGATGGAAATATGGTAGAAATGACTGTACCTTAAAATAAGATGGCAGTATTTATAGAAACTAGAATGGAAAATAGCTGCATCACCCACACATTTGCTCCATGTCAGATCATTAATGTCCCCAGTTTCAACCTTCTTAATTCTAAGCAACTTCTAAATCTCTCTGTAAGCCTATCTCCAATTTCCAGTTATTAATTCCTAACTCACAATGTGGTTTCTCAACCAAACGCTTTCCTGGATGAAATAATTCCAATTCATTCTCCCTTAAACCAAATTATCTCTCCAAAAGATCTCTCAGTTACCACCCATTCTTTTTCTACTGGCTCACAACCCCAGCATCTTCACTCTTCTTTCACATTCAATTGCAGAGCAGCTTATACCATTTCTTGCTTATTAATAACCACCATAAAATTTTGTTTTTCTCAGCACCTATCACGTATTCCTCAGTCGAACTGCCTACAAGCAAATCCTCCTCTCTGGTCTACCTTTTTCATTTTCAAACTCCACTTTTCCTGTCCTGTTCTTTTCATCTGTTAGGTGTACCTACTCCTGTGGTGTTTTTATGTGCATTGAGCCTGCTGAGACTTTCTGCATCAAATTCAAATCCCTGCCTTCACTTTCAAAAAAAATGAGGCCTCACTGTTCTACTGCTCTATACAACAAACTCTTCAATTCCCAAAGGCTACTAAATCCTTTTTAAAATTATGTTTTATTTCATTTTCCTCTACTGTTCCACCTCGTGTTTCTTTTAAATCAGCTCTTTGAACAACTCTTGTTACGCTCTCTGAGTTACCTTTCAGCCTCATAAACCTTCAGTGGCACACTTACCTTCAGCCTCACACCCATCTCTGGACGGGAGCGGTCCCAGAATCCTTAACATTCACCTACTGAAACTGGCTATTCACTGGCAAAAGACTAACTGCTCCGTTTGTTATCCAAGGTTTAAATTGGCTTAAAAAGGGGTTTCAGTTGTTTCCTTGCAGAGTATTTCCATACCAACGGCAAGGTGGCAGAAGCAAACCTCTGCCAGAGCTTGTGCTACTACCACATGGTTTCCAAATTTGTGGTGTGGAAAAGAAGCAGATTGTGAGAGTTACTCAGGAGACTTTGAGGGTACAGCAAAAGGCACTGCTGGCCACACCTCCTTAAGAACAAAAATTTGGGGACGCTGCACAGAGAGTAATACTTTTCAGTTGAATTCCAGAACAGCCGGGAAAGTAAAATCAAGAAACCCTTTGTGGAACTGATACCAGACTTAATTCTTCCTTTAATCTTCATAAGGAAGATATAATATTAGAAAAAGATTAAAAATGAATATAAGGATATGCATTCTATAATACTCTTTTTCTAGCAGAAGCATGAAACTTCAGATGCCTTCTGAAGTTTGGTTTTACTTTTAAAACAAGATAAATTGGAAATGGAGATCATTAATAATAGCCTTTGGTAGCATAGGGAGAATCTAAAACTTATATTTCTGAAATAAGTGAGTAGGAAAGATTCAGATGCAGAAAAACAGTTTAAAAAAAATCAAACTATGTGTATTATTTACAAAAACAGTCTATATTTTGTATCTACACTGGAAACGTGTTAGAACTGAGTGCTACAGCTGTTAAAGAGTGGCTCTGAATACTGTATAAAGTCTCTTAACAATTAGAGCAGCAAATCTCCAGGGCCGTTTAAAATCTAAACAGGCAAAATACAAATGATAAAATACAAAAGAAAGCAATAAAAAGCATCACATCACTGTCATAATAAAGCATTTGGATGATTAGCCCCAGTGTTGCCTTTTTTTTAATGCAACCTCATCTTCTGTGTTTAAAATGGAAAGTAGGGTGGGTTACAGAATTATGACACACGAGTGCATGAGTAGATAAGGTATACAGAAATATTTCCAAGCAAAAATAAAGCAGTCATTTGGGAAAAAAAACACAAACATTTGATATCTTCATGAGCCCAGTAAGCTTAAAAGATGAAAGAATTAATGTCCCAAGAACTGTTCCTTTTCTCCTAACTGAGACAGCAATTTGCTGCATCACCAGCGGCAAGGTGAGCAGCAGAGCTCTAGCACTGCTGCCCTCCTCTTCATCCAATTGTTTCTAGGAAGCTAATTTTGTATTAATGTAATGTCTGCTTTTAGATGCAACTATTTAATTATTTACACAGAATAAGGCTGTTCATTGATTGCTTCCTCCCTCCATCAAAACATTTCATTTGACTGAATTCAAGTTACACTGGAACTTGACTTACTGGGAGCACCTGTAAATTCAGGCCTACTAAGAGACATCAAATGGGGCTTCTAAGTGTAACCACCATCTCTGATTATCTTAAAATAATAAACCTGAAAATTTGATAAATGCCTTTTGAAAAAAAAAAACAACAAAAAACTGTTCTTCATCAATGTTTTGAGCACAGCACAAGAACTGGTGCTGAAAACCAACCATTCATGGGAATAAAAATGCAAAATAAGTATATATACAAAAGAATATTTAAGGCGTATTTCTTAAAGAGAACAAGTAATACAAAGAGATTTCCTTCCACCAAAGCAAAAACACAGGCCCACCATTTGCCTTACTGTCAGAACAACTAACTGAAAATTCCCCTTTTCTGCTTTCCTGGATGGATTCAGTTATGCAGCTCTGCACAACACAGTAACACCACACAAACAGCTATGGCCCCATTGTGAGCTGTCGTACAGGAGTGAAAACACAGATGGTATGCAGAATGACAATTAGCCATGCTACGACTGGGCCAAGCCCTCAAACAGAGCACTGGGCAAATATTTACTAACTAAATGAAATTGAAAAAGAAATCTCCCTTTTATTTCCCCCTTTCTTTTACTGGGGAGGGAAAGGGTGATAAGAGAGGGGGGGAGTTACTAAAAAGAAAAAAAATAATAAATCAGTGTTATTAGTTATTTTATTATTTTTTAAACAAGTGCAGTAACTAACACTAAAAATGTGAGATGATTGTCTACTGGAAACTACCTCAATAAAATGGAAATTACACTCCTGGAAGCTGGGTCTTCAGTGATTTCTCCTAAGCATTTACTACTTGTCATCTAGGAAAACACCCACAATTCAGCCATTCAGACACAACCATCATTTTTAATATTCCTGAACTATACCTCAGGATGCAGAGGAAAAGAGAAAAACAGTTATCTAAAGATTATGATAACAATATAGTTGATTTGTTAAATGGCTGCTTCCCCTCTGCTAAGCAAAAAATGGTGTATGTGAGAGCTAGAAAAAAACCAACAGCCCCACCACCATGTCCAACCCTCCCTCCAAAGCTTAAGGTCAAGGCAGCACGACTGTCATTGGAGCTAGAAACTGAATCTCAAAAGATAATCAAATTCAGTTATGAAATATTTGCAGTCAAGCGTTAATTAACTACATTGCCCAGACTCACATTTTCAAAGCCACGTACAGGGAATAATCATCACGAAAAAAAAATCTTCTGAAAAATGCAGAGAAAAACACCCTACACTTAAATTTCTGTCTTTTCTTTTGGGGTGGGAGGCAAACAGACAGACAAACGAGAATGAATGAGCGTTCTTTTCAAGAATAATATCTACACAAAGTGAAGGCAGCATGGTTCACCAATTCAGTGCCAGAGGAAAGACTATGAACAGAACAAAGACGCTGGACAGAAGAATGGAGGACTCTTCTGTGGCTGACTGGCTGAAGGAAACCTACTTAGTCTGGACTCGTGGCAACTTAGGATACAAAAATCCCATAAACAACAGGGCATTTGTGCATGTAACTCCCTGTACACTGCTCTGAAAATTCATTTTGCAGAGACTTTTCTCCCTCTCAGCTCACACACATGCACACACTGCACTGCGTGTTAGTAGTTTTCATATCCACTTAAATGCTACAGCCAAGAAACACTGTGCACATTCACCAGCTCTGCTTTTCTGTAAAAGAGGCTGAGAAATTGGCATCTAGTCCAAAGGGACCATATTACAAAATATTTAAAGAGGGATTGAAAGGCCATGCACCAAAATGCCAAAAACCCAACAAAGCCAAACCTGTTAAAGAATGTGGTTTTGTGCAGTGCAACAAAATAGTAATAATAAAAAAATAAACGTGTATAAACTTTAACTCTCTTTGGCTTAAAACTCTGGGCCTTGTTTGACCTACATTGCATATTTTTAAACTAAGGCTCTTATTTTTAGAACAGTTCTGAATTAAACCTTTCAAAAAAAGAAAAAAAAAAAAAGCTATAAGTAAAGCTGACTCTAATATCTTTGGGGTTAGGCATTTTGGCCATTTTAGTCCTGGCACTTATCCACTGAATTCCAAAAGAAATTTAAATTTAAATTATATTTAAAAAAAAAAAAAAATCTACCAAGAGGAAGATTTGGAAGTCCCCGCTGTCCAAATTAACTTGACACAACAAAAGATACAACTGCTTACCAAACCTTAACCTTTATGAATGCACAAATTTCAAGATTTATCACTGGCACTATGTATAGACTTTCAAAATTGCCTATTAGATTTATACTCACTTTACAGCCAAAGAAAAAAGGAGCAAGTCAAAAGCACAAAGCTAATTTATTTTCTAAAGTTTTATAACATTTGTTAAGTCAAACCAAACTACAACAGGGTTTTAGGCTGCATACTTCTTACAAGAAACCTTGCCTGAGTGGGGAAACAGTTTTTAAGCACGCCAGTAAAGATACTCAAGGCACTATACTCACCAGTATGAATCTTCTCATGCCTCTGTAGCAGGTACTTCTGTATGAAACGCATGTCGCACTGACTGCACTGAAATGGTTTTTCACCTTGAACAATATAATTCCACATCCATAAGTTAATAACTACACACTGTTGTTTCTGATAACTACTTTTGAGGAATATTAAAATCTCTATTAAAAAAACCAGCATCTGAGCGAATTCCAAAAGTACTCCAGTACCAAAAAACATTAGCCCTACTACGTATGTGAACTCCAGAATGCTTTCCATGATCCTAAGATTCACATTAAGTCTAGCATGGAAGAGTGATCTGAAATGGCTTTAATTTCCTCATGAACAAGATCAATCATGATGCTGGCATAAGACTGCATTCAGGATACTGGCAAGCTATTATAATGGTAAGTACCTTTTTCACTTCTCCGAACCAGAGAGATACCTCATCAGGCAAATAAGCAGCCGGAACACATTTTACAAAGGGGTCAATTTTGGCACTTAGGCTACAAGTCAACCCATTACTTTCTGATAAAGAAAGAAAAGAAACCTTGTAAACAGTTAGGTCTTCAGTTTAATAAACATTTGCTGTTTGTTTTGTTTTATTTTTTTCCCCCTGGCATTCTTTTGACACTTTGGTGCATGGAATCTCTAAGCTTAGATGCCAAGTTAGCTACAGTCTTAAAAGTGAAATTCGCATAGAGCTGAAAACATTTTAACATAAGTAAATAACTCTTTATATAGTAGAAAAGACAAATTTGAAGTCAAGCAGTACCTGTATGAATGAAGACATGTCTCTGTAAATGGTAGTTGGTTCTAAAGGCAGCATTGCAATGCTCACAAACATGAGATTTGTGGGTTTTCAGACCAAGTGATCCATCCTCATTTATTGTAAGGATCTATTTTAAAAAGAGTAAAATTTGTTCTCACACTACCCTCTAAAGTTGTCTTATTAACTACAAAAAAATAAAAAGCATTAATTTTTTTGATGCAGAAAATGTTGATTTTTCAGGTAAAACAATACTAATTTCTATAAGGCTACTCGACAGGCTTTCAGCTTACATTTCCAATTGCAGTCCAATCCAACTGGTGTCTCATTGTACATTAAGACAGGACGGAAGCAAAAGCAGCTCATGGAAAATCAGCTTAGAGTTTTCCTATTCACAGCTGAGTCATTTTAGATGCTAATGTTTACTTTGCCCGTCTGTTGGAAAGGATGCAAAGTAACCAAACCACCTCTGGGCACTGTACCATGGATAATCATATTTTAAAGCAAAAATTTATATTCTTTTTTTCAAATCACGATTGCAATTTGCTAAGAGACAAATAAATTATGTAGGATAGACATACAAATTACCTACATCTGCATAACAACAGCGATCTCGGAGACAACATTGTATTTTAAGAACCAAAACCCCAAAGCAGAACAACCAAGACAATAGTATTATCCTTCAGCCAAGTTTTTCACTCAGTAAAATATGGCTCACTCAATATACACGTTAGAACATCTCTTTGACAAATTCAGCTTTCCACACTCAATTGCTTTGGTGTCAAAGCAGCTATTTTCATTTAAGGTTGGAAAAATGAACTGAAAAAAAATATTTACACCGCATCTATCTCATTCAATAAAGCTCATTATAGGTTTTCTCTTAATTTGTCAAAATGAAAAGGAAAAAAAACCCAAAACAAAATGAAAACCCACACCCAAACCCTCTACTATCTCTGGCAAGAGCGTAAGAAAACCAGTAAATACATTGCGTTTCCAAAAGGCTTACTTAACTGGAAATAGAACTATAAAGAAGCACTTAAGAAACCTTCAGTAAAAGAATTTAGTCCCTTGTTATTAAAAAATAAAAGTCTGCTGGGGAAAGACATCTGCATTTTGATTAGTTATGACATTTAAGGTTTTATGATAATGATAATGATGAGAAAGGGAGTCAGAATAAATGAAATAATCTCTCTGCAACAGTAGCAAATGCTGTAGGTTCTACTTAAAACAATTTTTAGTTTTGCTGCATCCAAATTCAGCAAAAGGGAAAGTCTCAGCTAACAAATTCTTGTGCATTCACTCTGAAGGACAAGCACATTCATACGCATGGAGGAGTGGCATGTTACAGCTCCAGTAAGCCTCTGATACAGACAGAAAAATTCTGCTCTGTAACAGCGCCCAACTAATGAAAGGCTGACTGATTAAATCAAAATAAATTTAAATACCTCTTAGGACTTCTATACACATATTGAAATATTTTAAATAATCATGCAGAAAATACACTTAATTTCACAATTATGCTAACCCTGGGCTTTTCTACTGCATCCATTCATTGAACATCTCTTAAATCAAGAACGTTAACTTTGTCAGTGCAGCTTTCATAATAAAAGTAACAAGAGTATGTAAATGTCTGTGTGTGCATGTGTATGTGTGTACATGTGCATGCATGTGTGTGCATGGAAGGGGGACAAGAAGATAGGATTCATAAAAGCAACTGACTTTTTATGCATATGATGACTACACTGATACAAAATTTAAAATGTTTCCACATATCCACTGACTTCCATTTGTAAAAGTCCCAGCTGCAGTTTGGATAGAAAAATCAACCTGCTACTCTGGGAATGCTAACTTAAGCTGGAGTAGACTGTCACCTACGTCAGTCCTTTAGCTTCTTTCTGCCATTCTACTCTGACAAGCTTGAAAAAAAAAAAAAAAAGGGAAGAGAGACTGAAAAAACCCACAAACCTGTTTAACAATTCTCCTGATCATTTTTCAATCTTTCGTTATCTCAAAAGAATGACATTGACAGATTGGAAGATAAAAAGGAAGCATGCAAGTACGTGCCTGTAGAAGGAGGGACACATGCCTCTTCTACCTTGCAGTGTTTCCATGGAAGTGATCTTTGGAGGGTATTCAACCTAGATCTCCTTTTTCTATCAAAGGGACAAACATCTTGATGCAAAGGATTTGGAACTTGCTTCCACACCCAATCTGAAACAATCTGTCAACTTTACAAGTGTACTACAAACATCACCAAATTTGGCAGTGCTTTGAAGAGGACTCGAGGGTCCCCAGCAGGAATTTTTGGAACTTTTCTTGGTGCTAAGTTGAGTTTTCCTTCTATGGGTACACAGCCTAGGTTGAGTTCAGAATAGGCTTATTTAATGCTTCCGTGTGACCTCATTTTTGCCTTTCAGAGCATCCAGCATAGGTTCTATTTTAAATATGAAGACTGATTTAGAGAGTTACTAGAAGGTCTAACACTGCTACCTCATGAGGTGAAATGACTGTTTTTATCTGAAGTCTCAGAAGAAAGCCTATGTTTTCAGACATACGGGGACACATACTCTTCATGAATGGATCTACAAAACAATTTTTGAAGTAACAAACGAGCAGCTCTCATAAGAATCTTTTGATATAAATAAATACATATATGAAGATGATTATGACCACAGAAACATTCCCTACCAGTAGATTATTTTTTGTATATTAGTCAACTTTTTAGAGTTTTCCAAACTACCATTTTAGATTTCTTTTTAAAAACTTTTCACTATGCATAAAGCATATGAAATGGTCAGGCTCAAAGAAAAGCACAATTATTGTTAGACTGATACAGAGTAATGATTTATAAGTTGTCTACAAAGCTACCGACTCAGTTTTAAAAAAATATTTGGAGAAGACTCCCTGGAGAGACAGATGTTAAAATACGTCAAGGGTTCACGTTGCTAAAAAGAGTTCAAAGAAAAACACTGTTATATCAGGTTTTGTTTGGGGTCTCTAGTAAACTTCAGACCTGCATCTTTACTGAGCAAACAAACCATTTCCAGCCTAACTACTTCAAATGCTAATGAAATTAGTCATAGTAAACCAAATCTTCAGGTTCTTTTAATCTTGGTTTTGCCAAATCAATGTCTTACTTTTGCTGGTGAACGCTGTTTTCTTTTCTTCTTTTTCTGCAAATCTACTGGCTCTCGTATTTGTTTTTTGTCTCGTTTCTGTTGTTCAGATGCATCAGTAAAGGTAATTTCTTGCTTTACACTGATCTGTTAAGATACCAAGTGCCAGTTTCAGGTAAGGTTCTCACTACAGAAAAGCAATTTTTCAATTTTAGAAGATGACAAACTGCTGAAACAGAAAAATCTTTTTCTAAAGGGAATTATCTTGTGGCTTCATTCTTTCAGAAATTTAAGTGAAAGGAATAATAAATATCTAAGTAAAAAGGGCATAGTTAATTTTTACAGTGACATTTTGATGTATCCTTTCATTCATCTCCCAAAGTCTTTTTTCCTTCTGATCTGTGGTGATTTTGAGATCACTCTTTATATTAAAATCACTTCCATCTGTAAAACCATTCAGCTTTTCACACCTATTTTACTTTAGTCTGCGTATTGTCAATGCAAGCTTCAACTGAATAGTTTATTATATATTTAAGACAGAAATATTTTTAAAGAAAACAAAAATACTGCTAACAAAGGGCTTGGTGTTGTTTTTTGTTTGTTTGTTTGTTTGTTTTCCAAAAAGTACTTCTCGAGGTAAACTTTAATGAAGAGCAAGATACTCTTACATTTTTCTAACAGCTGAACTGCCTGATCTCCAGCTAACAGAGTAGTGTTTTAACAGCGCTATCTTTCTAAGGATTATTCCTCGTATATAAGGCTATCTACTTTTAGGGTCCTTGCAATTATCCTTTATGTTTGACGGGTAACAGTGATGATGTGCTGCTTTACAGACAGATGCTCTGCTTTCAAAAGGAAGTCATCTGTATTCGCTCTGGGAAAGATGAGGTACGGCTTCTGTTAGATATCGAGGAGGGGCATATTTATGGTCATGTATGAAGTGTCACAGTCCAACCTGCAGTGTGAATGCAATTGCTAAGCGTCCACATATTTGGAAAACATATAAGAAAATGCTTCCTATATCAAAAGAAACTAAACAGTACTACCAACCGAATAAACAGTATGCACCTCCTTGTAATGCTATTTATTCTGGTCTATAGCTACCCTGGAACATTAAATATATTAAGAAGAGCACATTTTAACTCGCTAATACTATGGTAACAGCCTGATTATAAAATATTTATAAAACAGATACTTGAAGATTATACTTAATTGGAAAAAACTGTCCACAGACAGAGGCAAACAACATTTTCGTAAGTAGCATCTATTCATAAATATTTTGATAATCAAAATCCAAACAAGCAATTAACAGATTCTTGCCAGAGTAGGATAAGACTACCAGATCAAGTTCCCTAGTAAATTCTCCAATATTTCACAAATAAATTGCTTACAGGGACGTTAACAGCATACTGCAGCCCTTGAGGAAGTCTATCTTGCGTATCCATGTCATCATCATTTTTTACCGTCTCCTCATGGACCATGAGTTCATCATGTGAAATCATCTCTTGCTGTCGAAGTTCACTTTCCTGTAACACTTCGTCTGGTGCAAGAATTTCCTGGTGCGCCATAGTCCGATCTTGAAGCACTGCCTCTTGCCGTTCTCCCGACACTCCGGACTGGTCAGATACTGCACCCATCCCTACCATAGCCCTGGATGACTGCATCTGGTCTATGCCACCACATTTAAGAAATAATCCTCCCAGCTTGTCTTCAATGTTCATTCTTAAGTGCAATAACCTACAAAGAAAGTTTTAATAGTAAACATCTACAATTGGTGCTCTTGCTTAAAGTTTTTACTTAAGAACATTTTATAAGAACTCAGCACTCAACACGCACGCATGCACTCCACTCCTAAAATCTATACCCAAACAGAAATGAAAAACTGGATGCTTCAGTTCAACACTAAACATTCTCCTTTCACACACATGCATGTGGACACAAATGAACACTTTTGAACAAAGGGTTTATAACAAAGTGCTTTTGAGTTGCTGGCAAAATTGGAGATTAAATGAGAGCTAATTCCTCCTTAGAAAACTGGTGTTTGGTTTTTTGATTCCTCCCCCCCCCCCATTTCCATTCTGTTTCAGTTGTCTGAGAAACACTGTCAGGTTGGTCCCATTCTCCCTATTTCCTTGTTCTTTAAGTGCTCTTTCACCACCACTACCCCAGACCACACTAGAGAAGCTGGAACATCTTAACAACCCAAAATGAGAGGAAAAGGTAACTTTCTGTCTCAACACGTACGCCACAGGAGAACTACAGAGAAGTAGAGTTTGTTTATGAAAAGGACATTCATTTCCACACCGCTAAGCTGGCACATTAGTCAGGAAATATTTATTCCAGGCGGGAATAGCAATACCATTACGCTGATTCATGATACACAGAGATACAGAACTCCAACAAGTGTCATGGCTTTACCAATTGCTTTTTACTACAAGGCAGCAGGCTTTTGTGGCTGGAAGCAGCAGCACAGAGCAGGTCCAACAGAAGCACACGATGGACATCTGAGGGGCACCAGGCCCAGCACTGCCACCGAGTGAGGGAACGGGTTGTCCTGCTTTGCTCTGCACAGCCTCACCTCAGCACTGGCTGCAGGTTTGGGTCACACAGTACAAAAAGGACATGAAACTATTAGTGTCCAAAGGATGTCCACAAAGACGGTGAAGGGACTAGAGGGGAAGAGATATGAGTAGCAGCTGAGGTCTCTGGATGTGCTCAGCCCAGAGCTGAGGAGCTGAGGGAAGGCCTCACGGCAGCTGCAGCTCTCACCGGGAGCGGAGAGCAGCACTGAGCTCTGCTGTCTGGGACAGCCACGGGGCCAGAAGGAACAGCATGGAGCTGTGTCAGGGGAGGGGTAAGGTTCTGCCCCATAGGGCTGTGGGCACGGCCCTAGTTGCCCAAGTTCAAAGGTCATCTTGACACCACGCTCAGATATAGGCTCTAAATTTTAGGAAGCCCTGTGTGCAGCCAGGAGCTGGGCTTGATGATCTTCATGCAACCAATCCAATCCAAGATATTCTATTATTCTATCATCTCAGGGAGCACAGCAACAGCAGCAGCACCTTTGATTTTGCTGCATTTGGAATAGAAATATGATGTTGGTATGTTACTCCTCAACAGCCTCAAATTCTGTCCCCTGAGCTTGCATCATGGTGAAGTGCTCCATTCCCATTCCAACTTCAAATGCTAGGCTATGCTTCCCTCCATATAGCTCCAGCTAACAACTTGTAATCAAAGCAGTCAAGTCTGACTGGAGCTGCCCAAGCCATCACCCTGCAAAGCCACCTACCCATACCCACTGCCAGCTAACAGCCTGCCAGTTTGCTAAATAACTGCATCAAACAAACACACATCACATATTTAAATCTTTTTCTTTGGTGTGGTTACTTTCCAAAGCATCTTCTTCATCAGGAAAATCTGACAATTCTCAATGCATCCTAAACCTTTGCAAAGTTGTGTTTATACCAAACTACAGTGAGTTCACAATAATCTTTCTTCATTCAGGTGAGATCCTGCACTGCTTGGTTGGAATGCATGCCAAAGGCAGAACCAGCTGAAAAAGACAGGGAAGTTCTGCTAGAGGATAATCTGTTTCAAAAACTATTACTTTCTGACCTTCTGAAAGTAAAATTCACTCACTCTGTTTCTTAAAAAATAAAAATAAAAAAATCCACTTTAACACCTTCTAGTAGCAACTCATGTCTTCTTACACAGAAGTGGAACAGCATTTGTCTCTGTTCCCTATGATGAGAGGCTCTAAATTTCTGTCTATCATCATGAGACTGAGGATCAGGAAGTCTGACTTCTCCACGTTCCAAGTATTTAGAAGGCATGTCAAAGAAACAGCTTTTCAGGCAATTAAAGATCTTTGTACTCAGCCTTACTTTGCTGAAAGTCAGGAGAGCACAGTCACCAAGCTAAACCCATTTAAACATGACGATGCCATCAACAATTCTTATAATCCCCTTCTTAAACACACACACACACACACACACACACACACACACACAAAAAAAAAAAAAAAAAAAAAAAAAAAACACACCACAAACAAACAAAAAAAAACCATTTTAGATACAAAAAAAAAAAAAAGCTCAGCTTTTTTTGTGATAGGAGTAGAACAGAATCACACAGAATCACAAGGTTGGAAACGACCTGCAAGATCATCTAGTCCAACCACCCTCCCATTCCTATCAGTGCCACAAGCTACTAAACCATCTCTCATAGCTCCTCATCCAGGAGCCTCTTGAACACCACCAGGGATGGCAACTCCACCACCTCCCTGGGCAGCCATCCAGTGCCTGACCACCCTTTGAGAGAAAAAGTTTCTCCTAATATCCAACCTAAACCTCCTCTGGTATAACTTCCTGCCATTTCCTCGGGTCCTACTATTTGCCTGGGAGAAGAGGCCAGACCCTTCTGCACCACAACCTCCCTTCAGGAAGTTGTAGAGTGAGAAGAGAAAAAGTTCTAAGAATACTTTTGCTTTCAATTTGTCCATTTTTCTTCTGCAATTTTAACACAAGGACATTTGATGCCTTTGCAATCTTGCTCTTGATTTTCTCAGCATCTGTCTTCAAATACAGAACAACTCCTTACTGTCGTGAGTTCAGGTAGGTAACAAGCTCACTCCCAGTTAATCTTCTTTATAGTCAGAGAACGGGGTTTCAAACCGCCAAGAGAAAATGCATGCCTGGCATGCCACACAGCCACCCAGAGACACGATATAATCCATGAAGTATTTTGGGGAGGTAAATGGGAAATCATATCGATTGTTTCTCAGCTATAATGCAACTAGAAACCTGGCACAGCACAAAAAGCTGTTTTTTTTTTTTTTTCCCCAAGAATGTAGGTCTCCAAGGGAGATCCTGCAGCAGCAGACCTTTGTGATCCTAAAAGAAGAAAAAGAGGGTGAATTTATCATCTTAGCAGTGTGGAGGATCCTGTGTTAAGAAACGCGAGAAGGAACTGAAGTTCTGGACAATCTGACCCCCATGGAATCATTATTTGATAAAGGATGGCACAAAGGAGCTAAGGTTTCTTAGGTAGGGCACTTTAAAAATACAGCATGGAAGGCAGACTCCAAGGAAAACAAACAGATATATTTAATCATTTCAGTCTTTAACCTGAGTTTATTCACATTTGGTACACATCTTACATAGATCACCATTTGCTATGCCTTTTCTTCCATTCCACAGTAAGACAGCAGCATAAGCTCAGTGCAGAGTCTAAAGAGAAATTATATGGGCAGGTACTGGAATACAAAAACTCAAAATAATCAACAGCATTCCAGGAGGAAAAAAAAAAAAAAATTTTTAAAAAAAAAACACAAAAGCAGAACAAAACCAAACAGAATCAAGTGTGAGAACACAGTGGCCCTGATCTGTCTGCTCCAGGTACTGAACGAAACAGTTGCTCCACACGGGGGATTCCACCCTATCACTACGAAATTAGGTATGAATTGAGGAAATCCTGGATGAAAGCAATTTCCTGGCAGGAAGGTAGGCAGACAAATGAAAACAGAGAGACCCAAGCGTTTAATACAAAAGAGCTGCTACTTTCACCAAGAGAGGTGGGCAGGCTCATGACGTGAAGAATGACAGGAGAGTCGGCAAGAGGGAACAGCTGCCCAGAAGACAGTCCAGCATTAGGTGGCATTTATTGGACTTATTAGTTCTCTGAATTGGCAACGATATGGAAACTTTCTTCTCACCCTGCCTAGCAGACTTAGTAGTCATACAAATGAAAGCACTCTGCTGTTTTCCAGTCATGATCTTGAGTCATATTGGATGCTGCTACTGTGAGTGTACTGCTTATTAAATCAGGCTTTCAAACATCTGGCTTTTCATAGAAAAATAATGAGAAATCATACTGTTAGGCTGCTCAGACTGCATATTCTAAGCGATAAAACACTGTAAGCCATACGAAAACCAAGGTACTGATTTAAAATGAAATGCAAATAAAAATAAGCTATTAATCCAAATGAGAAGTATCCCAATTGCAGCCATCTCAGTAAAACAAGAGTAATTTGTCAGCTGGCACCTTTTGGCTCACACAAAAAGAATCCTTTCACTTGAATCGAAGAAGAGGAGGAGAGATGTGTTCTTGGAAGAATGACAGCATGATAAAGAAAATGTAAGTTAAAAGCATTCAAACGAGCTCACTTTACTAAGCCTGTAAAGATTAAATAAATATTTTAAGTGCAAGATGCATCTGTGAGATAAAGATCAACTTATTTTGAGATTATCGTGACTGAAGTTAAAATAACACAAACCATACATGAACATACACAAGTATTTTTTTTGGCATAAATCACTGTTATCCTTATTGCAGAGATATTTTCTACAGAATTCCAGAACTTTATCAAGCTCCACGAAACAATCATATGATTTTGGCATATTCTTTGACTACATAGAGGGGAAAAAAAAGCCACCAACAAACGTAGTGCTTGGTAGAGCTTCTCCAAACCTTTACTTTGTGCAAAGCATTTCACAAGAGACATCTATAGGCACAAATTTGGGGAAAAGAAAGATGGGAAGAGACTGCACGGAAGAGTGCTCATCAGATACCTCAGCTCCTACTCCTTTCACACAATGCTCAGCAGCTGCTTGCACAGCATCTCCAGCCAGGGAACCACGCTGCTTCACTTCAAACACCACTGCTGAGCCAAGCCCTGCAGCACTTCTCAACAGTTGCTCACTTCAGGACCCCAACAGCAGTTTTTCCAAAGATCACGGTGC